GAACAGGCATCTGCCTGTTCGGACAAAAAGAAAGGTGTGAACCGACACATCTGAGACAGACAAAAATACTCCAGACAAAACCCATCCCCAAACTCACTCAGCAACAATAAATGAATAGATAAATGCTGGAAGAGGAAAGACAATCGGACAAAGGGGACGAGCCTAGGCCCACAACGTGGCCGTGGCCCACCAAGTCGCCCAGCCCAAGGGGCTGTGCGGCCTGGGGCCCGAAAAGGAAAATACTGGGCCTGAGGGACCCGTGTGGGAGCCCCTAGGATGCTACAATGGGACAATATAGTTTGCTTTTGAAATTTTCGCTGACAAAAATGTCGGCGATAAGTTGCCGATAAGTTCTCGATAACAGCAAAAAATGAACCGTTAACCGTGTGTCAGTAAACTATCATAAAAATCTCATTGAGGGTGGATCCACCATTGACCATGATGGAGAAGAATGCCCAGTTCGAATGGACAAATGAGTGTTACAGGTCCTGTCAGACTCTCAAGGGCCGTCCCGTTGAATACCCCATCTTCAAGCTTCCGGGTCCTGCAGTGTCATTTGCATTAATCACTGACACTAGTTATAGTGTGGTACGTGGGCGGTCGTGCAGCGGGACGATGGGCATCGCCGGTGGCCTGTGGAGTATTTGTCAAAGAAGATGCCATCAAAGGGATCTGCAGCTTGCGCCTATGAGAGGGGGCAGCGCTGCATCAGGACGATTGGCAGGTGGACATTGTGTACAAGCTCCTCGATACATGCGGCCACCATGTGGCCACCTACCTAATGCACTTGGTCTTGGATGGAAGCCAAGGAAAAGCAGTTGACTTCCAGATCGGCAGCAGAAGTATCCTTCTGGAACAACAGAGTTCGCAACCGTCTTCCCCCGAACATAACACACGCTGATAACGAACGTATACAAGACAACTTTCCAGCCCGATGCAGTCAAAATCAGGGTGCGTTGTGTTTGAGGGAAGATGCTAGGACGTTCGCGGATGAACTGCGACCGGCAATCTCAGGGATATGCAGAAGGTGCAAGAATTGATGAATGCTGAAGCCAATCGACACCGCAGACGTTCTGCATTCCAAAAGGAAACCCATTTGGGTCAGCATGGACGAGTTTGCACCAAAGAAATGAATATCCAAAAAACTTCTGCGGCCGACATGGTGTGGGCCTTGTTCCAACCAATTGAAAGCGATCGGGGACAGCAAGGTAGGACCACCTTAGCTTATTGACATGTCACCCCGGGTGCTGAGAACTTACCCTGTTTTTCATGCTTCCAAGCTGATGCTGTTCACACCATTGACGCTCAAGGATAGACAAACTATGCGTCCTCCCAGGGCAGGACCATCTTACCTCATTGACGTGTCACCCCACCTAAGACCTTACCCTGTTTTCCTTGGCTTCCAAGCGGATGCTGTACACGCCATTGACGCTCAAGGATAGAAGAAGTATGTGCGCTCCAGCCAGAGAACAAGGAGAGAACACCAAGTGGGAGAGAGATGTGGAGAGGATCGTTGATCACTGGTATGCATGACGATCAAGAGGGAGGACGAGCAAGATTTGGAGAAAGCGAGTTGGATATCCAGAAGAGGAAGAAGATGACGCCTTACTGGATAAACACAACCACTCTCTAATGGAGGCAACACTCCGAATTGTTGCAGATTATGAGAGAAGCCTCCAAGCCAAGTGGACAGGGATAACTACTCTGATCAAGACAGCAAATGAAACAATTGTAGCAGGTTTTGAGAGTAGTCTTCTACGGCAAAGGAGAGAAAGATGCCTGCAGCTGCGGATGCCATATAATTTTTACTGTTTACAGATGTTTGTACTTTTTACAACTTTCAACATAGAAGTATGAAAATAGCTCTGTTAGGAACGAGTAGCCGGACTCAGTTCTTCGGGACATCCGCTAAAATTGTAACGATACAATGAAGGAAGATCAGCATGGCCTCTGCACAAGGATGACACACATAAATCAAGAAATGGTCACCCGAGCTCAGTTCGCAGACTCGTTAATATGTTCTCAACGGACTTCTGACTGAGGCAGAGGGATATTTAACCCTGACCACTGCCGATTTGGGGGGGGGGGGGGGRGGGAGCAACATGCAATCCCTTAATTGTGAGAGGTAACTATGCTTGCAGGAGTCCCCTGTATAGGATTGGAGAAGTGGTAGGTAGGTAGTGAAAGGTGAAATTGAGAAAARAATTAAAAAAAAAAAAAAAAAAAAAAAAAACTATAATGGTAGTATATGACGGTTATGACCTAATTAAAAAAAAAAAAAAAAAGAACAAAAAAAGTTATACAGATGGAAGAGGGCAGAGTGGGGAGTCTTTAAAGTGGAGCATTTATGGGATGAGGACCGCAGGGGCTGGCATACAGACAGCAAGATGACGTCAGTGCTCGCTGGCAAGGCAAGGAGAATGCAAGGGGTGAGAGAGCTGAAAGAGGCCATCCCGTCACAATGGATCTATCTGTTGAAGCAGGACGAGGTGACACCAGGAGTACGGGTGCGGATTAAAGGAATTGCCAGGCCGGCTATGGTGTACCGGGTGGAACAGATCCTCCCGTATGGCTGGTTGGAAGTCACAGCGTGGCACGTTAAGTCGAGATATGAGGGGATGGGCGAACCCCTACAGATGGCGACGCCATGACAACAACCCGCCCAAAGACGGGTGGCGAGGGGTGGTGTGGAGACTGTGACGGGATGCGAGGGAGTGGAACAAGGCCAATACTGCCCATACAGGGTGGCGCACCGATTGGGAGTGGCCTCCTAAGGGGATGCACAAGAAGACGACTCCACTGCAGCAGCTGACGACCAAGAATATTTACAAGTCCTTGCAAGAACCACGTGACATCAAGAATCGGTGGGCTAAGAGAGATTGGCTCCCCGACGTCTACCATGAAACAAGATGGACAGCGCGCAAGTGGAACGCACAATGTGCTCTCATGGCAGCCCCGACGTCTACTATGAAACAGATGGACATAGCGCAAGTGGAATGCACAATGTGCTCTCATGGCAGCCTTACCGGACCAGAAACAGCCTGGCCTGCGGTGGCAAATCTATCACCGACAGCGCAATGGCTAGCAACTAGAAGCTGTCACAAGAAGCAAAAGATGCGCGGCAGGATGCGGACAGGTGGAGACCATACCTCATCTGTTCTTGCGATGCCAGTGGTCCGAGCCTTTTGGAACTGGTGGGCGCAGGAGATGGAAGAGCATACCTCGATGGAAGTGACGGAAACGGATGATGCGGTCATTCTCATGGGAGCATTAATGACGGCAAAAAACAGACCGCAACCTGAGAATCTGCTGGTAATGGAAATTGTGAGAGCAGCAATATTGTGGGACATCTGGACCCTGAGGAATCAGCGGTGCAGACAAGGAATGGCCCCCACCCTGCAGGCATATCAGGGACGAGTGCTGGAAAATATTTGAGCGGCTCTCCTAGCAGACTTCGGTCGCTGCGAACGAACAGGAGAATGGAGGAAGGACCGATTTTGGAAGAAATGGGGCCCCTACCCGCAGCTGTTGATTCCGGACCCTCAGACTGGCCGCATTTCATTTGGACCTCTGCTGCTACGACGGGTATGTCAAGCGGAAACCGATGTGTAACACAGTTACCTGGAGGACAAGTGAGAATAGATAGGGAAAGGATAGCTGTACTATAGATACAACCAGGTGAGGGAATATGATAAGGTAGGAGTAGAAATAGGAGTGAAAAGGGAGTAAAAGTAGGAGGGCAGCGCGTGGGGCCGGGAAGGGAGCAAAGCCAAAAGGAAATGGCTGGGGTATTGTATATAGACTAAAGGCGACTACTGAGAGTTAGCGAGCAGTATGGGTACACTGGAATATGTGGACACATGGTAGGAAGGTAGTGGGATGTAGTGGCATATAGTGGGATATAGTAGCCAAGGAACAAGACATACCACGTGATAACTGGAAGGAGGATAGTAAGTAGAGAAGGCCTGTGGAGGTACAGCATGATACAAGGGGAGGACGGTAGTGGTTTACAGAAGGTAGGGAAACTATTATAGGAAAGAACACAGAACTGAGGGTTGGATGCTGAGTGCCCTGTAAGGCTGCCAGGCGAATCTCCCCCGCACCTCGCCGTCTACAAGATCCACCTGCTGTGTGTCTGGGTGCTGCCAGTAAGCTTCCAGGCCAGCAAGTGAATCCCTGCAAACGAGTTATGGTTTGGGGCAGGGTTGCATACCTGGCGACCGCCGACCGTTTTGCAGCCGACCACGAGGGCTGACATGTCAGCAGTCTGCCGACCAGTCAGAAAACAGCCATCCACTGATTTGTTTT